TTTTTTCAAATAAATTTGTTGTCTGTATTGTGGTTTAAAAATATGATTATCATATTATTACTTATATTGATCCTACATGAACACATTATAGAAAATACTGACATATTATACCTACAAGTAAAAGATGAAATGGGTAGAAGAAATTGTAAAAAGAATTTTTGTCTACTGACCTACATTATCATTGTTCTGTTTTGTATTAATTTTAACAACACACACACACACACACACACACACATACACATATTTCAGTGAATAGTGATTTCACGGAAAATATTACCGTGACTTGTGTCATTTAAACAAGGAGATGCATTTAAGTTTTAACTGAGTATAATTATAATCTCAAAGTCCTTAATGTCCAATGAGTAAATGGATGGGTATAATAACTGAGTTAAATAAAATATAGGTAGATTCCAAAACGGTTAATAAAACGTTATAGGTTTTGTTTTTAATGCATATTGGCATGATAAAGTTAAAACGGTTGATAATTTTTGTTTTTAAATTAGAAACGTAACGTCCGTTGTACAAGCGTTATCTTTTAGTCATTATCCGTACACTTATTACCACTTAATAAGAAAAATCAACCATATTTTGGTGACCCTTTTTTTTTAGGTAAAACAATATTATTTTTTCAGGCTGATTGGTGATTGATAATAATATGTATTCGATTTCATTTATGAATGATTACGTCAGTAGGTACCTACTGAATAATCTGTGAAGGTCGTTTTATAGTGATTTCGAATCATTACGACTGCTTACGATATACATTTTTAAAGCGTGTATATAATATAATATTATACATATCTAACATATTATTATAAACATTGTACAATCATTAATAGTTATGGTATATTATATTATTATATATTTTATTTCATACGTAAATACTGTGTACCTATAGGTACATAACATTATATGTATCTACTTTTATGTATTTATATTAGTTTGATCGAACTAACATAAAACTCTGACAAATGTTGTGTTGAGATAGAGATCGTTTTTAGTTATGCGTTTTATATATTTCGTGATTTCCATTTTGATTAACCTTATGATGTACACATTCACTGCAGAACTAATAAGTCGATTACCGTTAATATTTTTACCTGTTAGGATCATATATTATTAATTATTATAGACTCAAATATATAAAAAAAAAAAAGTATGCTCATATACTCATATTATGTGTTTGACGCAAATCATGCCGGTACAGGTGCTATTTCTAACGAATACAATAAATTTGACCTCGAGATGAAGCTAGGTATTTTTTAATATTTCTATATTTATTTTAATTTTTTTTTAAACTATAATTACCTAACCTTTTATTATAGTAATTGTGAACAAAAATTCAACAATTTTTAGCATGTCCGTCGAAACCTTGTATATCGATAACTTAAGATAAAAACAAATTTCAACTTATCAAAATTCAGCATGTAGAATGTATGTAGGTATGCGTTAGACGTTGTCACGCATATATCGATATGAGGGTATAGTGTGTATATACAAAAGTAAATTAAACATTTAATTTAAACGCTTGTATCCATAATCGAGAGAGTCTATAATTTATTATTGATTGCCAATGTCCATAACACATTTATCACTTTTTAGGCAAACGCCATGTACTGAAATCACATTACCATGAGGATGGTCGTTATATTATAGTAAAACCGACGTAGACATTTTCTTAACACAAATCATAGTGGTAGGTAGACGATTAGATGAAAAATGAATCGAAATATCTCATCTCCTTTTAAACGAGAAGAAAAATTTGACACTGAAAATGATAAAATATACGATTTTCCTACACGGGTTTCTACAAAATAATACACTCATATCTGATAAATACGATAAATATTACATAATCTCTAAAATGTGCTTTTATATGGGTAATATATTTTTTTTTCTACGAACTCGCCATGTTTTACAAATCGCACACATTTTTCACCGCTGAGAGCTGCATATATTCGGTTAATTTATTATATTATATTATGTAAAGGGATACAAATCTGGACTTTGTTGATGACAGATTTTTATTAAATTTAATAAAGATAAACATCATAACATTAGTTGAAGTTTCTAGTAGTGCAATTTTTACTGACAGTATTTCGAAGGCGAATTGGATCTTAAGAAGAAAAAATCATAATATTATATAAAACGTTCCAAATCAATATGTATTATCAAGAAAAATCGAAATAACCATAGAATTATTTAATTTTGATTATATTATATAATTGTATTTATTAACCAACCTATTTTTTATATAAAAATTCCAAAATATTATGATTATTATCAATTTATTTTGTATTCTACTTAGCATAAATGCATAATCCTATGTTATTTATTTTATATCATTATTCTCCTTCCTACAAAATGAATTGTTAAGGTTTCGGTTTCGTTATCTTTTTTACCCTTTCACTTACCTTCACTTTTTTCAGTCGCTCAGTTTTGTACCGTCGTCCGTTATCGAATAACGTATATTTCATATTTTAATCAAATGAACGAGCATACATACTTCTTGACAATGTGTGAATATTTTATTAGCCATGGCTAGAGTTTTGCATTCAATTTAAATCATAAAATTCTGTTAAATCATTGGATGATTTTTGTTTAATAATTGATTGTTATGTTTAAGTATTTTACAGTATTATATTAATGCAATGATGATAACATAAATCACAAATAATTTAACATGGTATACCCAACGTGCACTTACAATAAACACAATTGTATGTTATGTTGGAAAGGTATATTTAAAATATAAACATAATATTCAAGCTTCAATTTATAGGTATTATGCCACTTTTTACGAGATCTGACCTTCAGGAGTGTAGAAACTACCATAACTACCCAAACAAATACCTATTTTTAAGACCAAACTACTGATCATAGATAACTGGACAATTTTAATTAAAATTATTAAAAGTTAAAATGAATCTAACAATACTTGTACAATGCTTAAACCATTGAACTATTCATTGCAAGGTTGTAAGTTCTGTATTTATTGTATAATAACTAATAAGGTACCTATAACACTAAATTATAAGTATATTAAGATAACTATTGACTTAGTGTGGGTACTGAAATAAATCTTACCTATGGTGAAATATTGTGTACTACTATGAGTATTATAATATGCATGGTTTAATTGAGATTTATTATTCGAAGTTGGGTTATAGGTACATTCAATTTTCAAATAATCAATTATCATTGGAAACTGATAAGAAAAATCTAAAATTTGTATTTTAATAATTATTATATTTTATGATAAAACAAAATCCCGTACAAAAGTTATGTAGGATTTTACTATTGTTGTTGAATATTTGTATCGTTACGAATTGACCTTGACACAAATAAGTGGTCAGTCAGCTTCCGGTGATGGGTATAATAAAATATAGCAATAGATTGTCAACTAAAAAGTTGGATTTATTACGTCTTTTATCAACATTTCGACGGTTCAAATTCTCATTAAAGCCATTGGTATGTTTCAGATGCGTCACGTTTGACTATGTGAATAATGAGCATATTATTTTGCATCGCTATAGTTTGCCAAAAAATAACATAATAGAATAATATTATTATGTATGCGAATGAAAGTCGTAGATGACTGAATAGTTTAACGCGACGGCGAACGTCGAGAGTTGATAGAATATTAATACTATATTATTATATAAATAAAACATCGGATTATTTTTTTTAACGAATGTAACTCTAGTAGGTACATACCTATAATATTATTATTGTAATGAAAAGGTACATGAAGAAAAAAAATTGACAAAACCAACATAGATCCGTAAAACTACTAGTATAGGCAATTTTATGTGACCAAGTGTATTGTTAATTATCTAGTCACGAGGTGTTTTATTTATTACTTCGTTTCTGGGCTTCCAATCGGCGATCGCATTCGCTCGGTAATAACACTAACGTCGAATATTTAAATTGAAAACAATATTTTTCTTATATTATACCTATTTAATTGGTACGAGTATGTAATACCTACGTAAGAAACGCGCGACGCATTATTATTAATTATTATTACTATTATTATCTATTATTATTATTTATATTATTATTGTTAATCGACGTGTTCAGCACACGATAAAAAAACACAGTATTTATAAAAAACGATCAGGTCTCACGGCCGACACCCCGAAACCAGCTTTCCCGATGGCCGGCGCGAGTGCAGGCGACTGCATCAGTGGCGGTGGGAGCGCTCGTCGTCAGTGGCGTAACAAACCGGTATTCGCGGTGGTTGTCCCCCTTTGCCGGCCACCGCCACTGGCCATAATATACTCGCGCGGCAGCCACCGTCGATTTCTTCTTCGGTTGCGTAACCACGGTTAGGTTATAGCCACTGTACGGTCATAACATTGCGTGTGAAATGGAAAGAAAGAAGAAAAAATCCATTTCAAGTAAAACATAATAATATTAATCTACCGTACGGCTGCTGTTCGGCCCCCAATAACAACAGTTGGAAAAATATAACAGCTATACACGGGATACATTATTATGATAATATAGTTTTGTAAATTATTATATTTACAACATCTAATGATGTCGCCGCGATAATCCCGAGCCAGTGGCTGTCATACGACGACAAACGTAAAAAAAAATCTGTAAGGTGACACGATAGACTGCCAGAGACTGCAGCTGCAGAAGGGCGATGGCCGAGTCACTAAACAGTTCCTCAAATCAGAAAATCAATTCAAACGGTGCCCCAGCACCTACGAGTATAATGTTGTGCAGGGTCAAATTTGAGGGATCGTCTCCCACTTCTCCGGCAATTGGATAGCCGTTGACGGCGCTTAGACTTGAACGATCGGCGACGACACGTGAAAAGCGCTGTTGTCGGAAAGGCGCCTTTACGACTCTCGACACACTGCGGACTAACGGTATACCCGATAACTGACCTATCGTTATTTTCCTAATCAACCTAACACACGGGGTACACTGGTAGGGGCTGTTTTCCGTGGTGTCGCGGAAGGAGTGACGTTTTTTCGTGTACTCACGTGAGACTCGTGCTCCAACTGAACATCTTCCGTATCTTATCCTTGTCGTCCATGTCGTCGTCGGCGTTTTCGTCGTATACGTGTGGCGAACCTTAGCGACTCGCGTGTCGACCACGAATTATCTTATACTATGTAGGAGAGAAAAGAGAAAAAAACGAAAATACCGAAAGAAAATTTAAAAAAAAAGGAGAAAAACTAATTATTACGATAACGTTTAAACGTCGCGTGCAGACGTATTTCCGACGTTATAATATTATAATTATTGTGTTATTGTTTTTTTACGTTTCGACGCGAACGCACACTGCATTCACGCTCACACTGCACGAGTCACCGACGCGACGTTAGTGAAACGATTGTGCAGACTTGGCCACCGCCATCTCCACCGCCACCGCCGCCACCGTCGTCGTCCACAGGTTGGTGCCGGAAGAATAATATAATTCACATTATAGCAATAAGAGGCGCTACGAGTTTGGCGAACGCGTATTATTCGCACGCGTAATAATATCTATCGGCGTGTGTGTGTGTGTGTGTGTAAGATGTTGTATATTTTGTGTGTGTGTGTGTGTCGGGTCTCTCGTTTTCACTCTTCGTGGTGGGACCGTCCTCCGAACATTGGGTACGTGCGCGCGTGCTCGCCCAGGAAGGTCGACCGGGTGTACCGGTTCACGTGCGACATTCCTACGACGACATTCGACGATGGTCCTACATAATAGTAATAGTAATAACTAATAATAATAATAATAATGTAACGCGCGTTCGCTTTTTTTTATTTTTTTCATTTCATTCTTTCTCTTTTATATTTTATCACAAACGACTTATCATCGAAGTAGTCGTAACATCCGATATCCGAGCTATGTACGCGTTAGAATGTTTCGTATACTGTATACACTTTATAATACACATATTATATACCTACCTATCTAATATTGTTATAATGATATTATAGGTCCGTCTTTACGCGGTCTCCGGCGACTGTTACGGATCGGGTTGGTAATAATATTACAAATATAAACACGTTTGAAATAATGTCTGCGGTACCTACCTATATTCTATATACTTATTAATATCATTATTATATATCAAGAACAACAAAATGATTACAAGTTTAAAATAAAACAGCAATAAGGATCAAAATACGTGGAGGTTCTGTAGGTATCTGCAGGGGTAAGCTATTCTACACCCTTTTTAGGCTGGATTTATAGTGGTGCCCTATGTTGGCGCTGCAGTGATACAAAATGCGCAGGTAATTCGCGTAATTTTGCAATATTATAAGAATATTTTATCGTAAAACAGATAAATTCATAATCACCTTGAAAATATAATATTATTAGCCTTGCATATTAAAACATTAATAGTTTGATATATTATTATTATTATATAACTATTAAGACCTATTTTAGTGTAGTTGTTTTACCTACATGTACTTGCGTAACTCCATGTCGATATTGTAATGATACAATTGGCGAAATAATGTTATTGCAGATAAAACTCGCGGACCTTCCACCGACCAAAATTCGTACCCACATACGCAGATACGACAATATAATACGTCTCTTTCGACGCTTTAGGTTTTCCATGAAAATAATCAAACCACTCGTATTCGTATCGATCAATAATCTTAAGCGCTATAGCTATGGTACTGCAACTGCATGGATAATATTTACGGATGAAATTGTTTTCGATTACGATCAAAATGAACCTAGCTATGCGCATAACCAAGTAGGTAGGTATAAAAAAAACGTTCGGATAGGATACCATAATGGCATAATCAAGTGCGGTAAGTGGCATGTCTATATAGTTTAACTGACCTCGACACAGACCGGTGATGTATTATTTATTAACAATTTGATTTTGACAAAATACTATAATATTCGTGTCGGTCAAAAAAAAACAGACCCTCAGTGGAACTCTTAGAAAACCGTTATAAGAGTTACTGGTAAAATTCATTAATAATTAATAGCTTTAAACGTCGTGTAGGTACACCTTACATCTTTGGAAATAATATGTTGTATGTAAAGTTTTCTTGTTATAACCAATCTTAAATATGTGCATAAAGTGATATTGTTATCAAAAAATATCAATAACATACAGTTAAAAAAAAATAATAACCATAATTTAAACCTTGAATCTCTAAAGAAATACTGTTTACCAAATTTTAAAATGTCATGAATGTTATATCCAATAACATCATAATGATAGCCTTGTATCACTTAACTCAGATCTTAAAACGTAATTATTTAATTCAATCTATATTATATTATTATTCATCAAATGTCTCTATTAACATATCAAAAAGTCGCAAATTGTGTATTAAACGCAATACAAAACTTTAATATAAAATTCTATGCGTACCACACGATAGGTATAAGTACATTAAGTAATTGAAAAATGTCTATTATAGTATTACCACTATTACATAAGGATAACAAAGAAATAATCAATAACATTATTAAAACTATGTTATAGAATACTCTCCATCATCGTTACTCAGTATTCACTAGAGGCACGTAACCGTTTTCCTCAAAAGTGACCCTCGCCATCAAAGGTTATATACTCCGATTTCCGCCAAAAAAAATGTTTATATTATTATTTTATATATTTGTTAAGAATTCCAGAACCAACATCCATCGAAAATTGTAATGATTACGATGCACGCAGCTCACTTCACCTCACTTCGTATAATCTCTATATCATATCAAGATTAGTAATTAAGCGTCCAAGTATATTAAATTATATAAAAAGTACAAAATTGTAAACATATTGTTAATTACAAGTCTTAGTATTATACCAATAGAAGACTTTTTTTCGTAGCACCTACATTGCATAGTGATATTTTGAGATAGTGTATACTCATGGATAAAAGTATAATTGTTGTAGATTAGCATAATATTATTATCACGTTAGACGTTAGTTGTTAATTGTTACACGTTATCAGTTCAATATTTTCAGACATTATAGAATAAACGCAAACAACATAGTTGTTAATTAATTTGAAAATTCATATGTAAACTGAAGATTTTGTCAGCATCTGAGGTTAGGTTTTCTAGGCTTTCGACAGCGATGAAATAATAATAATATGGGATATAAAAAGGCGCTCTGCTGTATATAGTAGGTTACAAGTGGGTCACTGTATAATGGATGGTATTAAATTTGAATTCAATGATATAATATAATTTTATAAGAAAAACGATTCTGAACGGAGACGGTATGTCAGTCTAGGTATAAGACATATTATATACTTATCTATGGTATTAAAAAAATTGACCTATAATGAATTCCAAATTAATCATATCACAATATCCATTAGGTACTTATAACGCGTTTTACATCAACAACAAACCCTGATACTATCATAGATATAAAAAAGTGTACTTAAGAAGTTTCAAGTACCCACGAATAATATTATACAATCACAACAAAATAACTAAAATAGTTATTCTAGGTTTTTTTTATGTAATTTCGTCCAAAATTGAACTTAAAATAACTATAAAAATAAACTGTGCTTATTTATTTTTTAGATTTTTTGGTAAAAGAATTAACTACTTACGTAGAATCTTTTTATAAATTTTCAATCCTTAGATATAAAATTTGAACATTTTATAAATTTTTAACTACAAAATAATTATTCAATTTTAAATTTGATAAATGTTGTCAAAATTCGATCTTTAAATGCTTATAAAAAAAAACTGTTCTTATAGACCTTCTTATAGACATTTTTTTTTTTTGATAGAGGTAGATAATCTTATAAGAAATCTTGTATTCAATTTTAAAATCTTAGATTTAAAAGAAAAATTTTTACGAATTCTTAACTCAAAATAATTTGCTAATTTTCGTGATTTTTCCATATTTTGTCAATTTTTGAACTTTAAATGCTTATAAATAAAAATGGAAAATGAAAATGTCCCTTATCGGTTCAAAATAAATCAAAATATTTTGAAAATTTGTTCGTGTATAGAGAATTCAAATATAAATAACCAGTGAAAAATTCATTTATCTACTGTCATTTGTTTTAAAGTTACCCTAAAAACCCAAATTCAATTTTGTGAAAAATCGATTTTGCTTAAAATTCTCGTTTTTCTTTAATTTTTCTTTTACTTTTCTTGGTGCTTTTAAAAATTAATGGGAATTTTAAACTTCGACCTCCCCAATGCACCAACGATATTCACTTTCCAATCGAACAAGATACTGAAGTTGAAAATCGAAGCATTATTTCGACTACTTATCGTGTATTCGTGTACACAGACACAACAATTAAAAATTAAAATTAAAATTAAAATTAAAAATTAAAAACCCACATCATTGTAAAATTAATACATTCATCGTTCCACTTAGAATCTAAAATTCTCAAAAAATATCTAAAACAATATCTAAAAAAAAACTGTAGAAATCGGAATATAACCTTTGGTGGAAAACGGACATGGTAAAAACGAGCGAGGGTCACACTTTGGCAGAAAATGTGAAGGTCGTAAACCCTTTACTAAAGAATTAAATACTTTTAATATCTATATTTAAAATATTGTTGTTGTAATTTGATTGCATTTTGCACGTAGGAAATAAATTATGATCTTATTCAAAATTGTATGAAAAAGATAATATGTAAATATTATATTTACATATTATTATGTAGGTTGGGTTGTAATTTTTCCTTTTTACAAAATATATAGATAATTATTTAAGTTGTACCTATCTGTCATATCTATAATATTATCTCATAAAAATAAAGCATCACTGCAGGGTCAGTGATAACACTCAGTCACAGTGCAACATATTAGTCAACTACTATTAAGAATCAATAGGAATTCATCGTACAATCGTTTGAGTTAAAAAAAAAAAAAGAATTTTAAATTAATTATGATAGGTATTGCATTAGAATTTAATTAATTCACATGTAATCATCAAACTTTTTATTTCTGCGACTGTGTAATCACGACGAATCGTATAAGAATAATATTACTGTGACCGGTGCATTGTGACTTTTGATGGAAAATAATATTCATAACATGAGAGACATTGTGGTGTTTGAAACTAAGAGTACAGTTTTGAATAATTTCTG